ACTTACACTTTCAAAGGCACTTTGGCTACAAGGTAAAGGATGGACCATTAGGGAGCCTGAATGGAGGCAGAGACTAGTAACTGAGGCAAGACCTGACCTGGTCCACAGTAAGATAGTCACAGTAGAGATGAAGAGAAAGGGGACAGGGTTGAGAAATAGACATTGGTACTATGTTAGCTAGGCTTAGGTGTTGGAAACAAGGCTTGCCGGTGAGTAGGTGGTGGTATGAGGAAATGAAAGAACCAAGGCTGGCCTCTTAGTTTGGGATTTGAGCAAATGGTGGATGGCAATGCCATACACTAAGCCAGGGACTACTGGGTATGAGTGGAGGGACCAGCAAGAAGGGTCTGGGCTGGAGCTTCCATGTGATGATTGCTTCCCTTCCGGCAGTGGGAGGAGCAGCACCGAGGCCGGAGCTGTGAGGATTTCCAGAACTGGAAACGCACCAATGACCCAGAATACCAGGCCCAGGGCCTGGCAATGTATCTTCAGGAAAATGGCATTGGTGAGGCTGCCTCACTAGGCCTGTTTGCCCAGTAATCAATCTGTTGTTGCCAGCGGCTCCCTTCTTGGGGGCCTTGAGCAGTGGCAGCCCCAGCCTGACCTGCTGTCCCTTGCAGACTGCCCCAAGTGCAAGTTCTCATACGCACTGGCCCGAGGAGGTTGCATGCACTTTCACTGTACCCAGTGCCGCCACCAGTTCTGCAGTGGATGCTACAATGCCTTTTATGCCAAGAATGTGAGCCCAGAGAATGGGGTGGAAGGGATAAAAGGGTGAGGGGCTGCCATTAGGTGTGGGGGACAGAGGCCACTGAGGGGTGGCCCAGTGGAAGAGAGGAGGCTGGTGGGGTGTAAATTACCTCTTTCTGTCCCCTCTCCCCCTTTGCTTGCTCCAGACCCTCCAGTGTCTCCATCTCCCCCCACCCCTACACCCCTCACACAGGGGTTCCTGAGAGGCCAGGACCCCAACAGTCTCCAACTTCCTCTCTCCCATCTGGGTTTCTGCCAGAAATGTCCAGACCCTAACTGCAGAGTGAAAAAGTCCCTACATGGCCACCACCCCCGAGACTGCCTCTTCTACCTGCGAGATTGGACTGCACTCCGGCTCCAGAAGCTGCTACAGGTCAGGGGCGGCCAGTCTGGCTGAGTCTGCAGGTTGCTAAGGAGAGGAGGCAGAACCCAGGGTGGCAAGAAGGGAAAGGCTGTATGCTGGGAAATCCAGTGGGCTGACATCAAGGAGAACCTAACGTCCATTTGTCTGCCCCTTCTCAGGACAATAACGTCATGTTCAACACAGAGCCTCCAGCAGGAGCCCGGGCAGTCCCTGGAGGTGAGTGTCGGGACAAGCCTTGGAGAAGGGGAGAGGGTTGGTTGGGCGCCCACTGTGCGGTAGGTAAAGGGTAGGCTCGGGTCTGGGGTCGGACCTGAGCTCAAGGCCCGTCCTGTGCTGACATGTTGTATTCCCATTGGTGAGTTAACCTCCCCAGGCCTTGTTTTTACCTCTGTAAAATGGGGATAATATCTACCTTGCAGCTCAGCTATTTTACATGAAGCCACATTAAAGCACCTGGCACCTCGAGGCTAATTTTCTTCTCCCATTCCCAAAGGGTAATAATTCATTAGTTAACTCAATGAGTTTTTAATGAGGCTTGCTAGTTGCACTGTCTTAGGTTCCATGAAGGCAACAGAAAGATGTTATATATGGTTCTAATATACCCCACTTCTTACCATCCAGATAGAGTAATACCTTCACAGAATAAGTTAACTAACTATGCAAGAGCTAAATCACAAAAGAGCTGTCTCAAGGAATATGTGATTATGGGCCAAAAGCCAGTTTGGATAAAAGCAGGGATAGCAAAGTCTCTGCTTCAGTATCAGAGCTGGTCTGCCACAATGGCATCTCTAAGTACCCGCTACCACTACCACCACTGTTAGAGCAGGGGCTCCTGTCCTCCTGGTCTCCATGGAGGCCTCCTGTGCCTCCATCCCAGTTCTTCTGGGGCTTGGTGGTCAGTGGCCTCCTCTCAACAAAGGGTCCCTTCCTGCCCTTACCCATAGGTGGCTGCCGAGTGATGGAGCAGAAAGAGGTTCCCAATGGGCTCCGGGATGAAGCTTGTGGCAAGGAGACTCCAGCTGGTTATGCGGGCCTCTGCCAGTGAGTGCCAGGCAGGAGCATGGTGTTGGGGAGAGAGGATGGGAGCACTGAGGGTATTCCCAGGCCATAAAGTGGGCCTCTGGGAGATGCAGATCCTGCAAGGAGTGGGAGGAAGAGATTCTCTGGACAAAGGCCTGGATAGGTAATAGCAAGCAATGTGCACAGGTTGGCAGGTGCGTACACATGCACAAGTGCCTACACATGCAGCAAGTGAGGATGGTCAGTCTTATTCATCCAGGTATGCCTGTGCCCAGCAATATCCCACCCTCTTATCTCCCCAGGGCACACTACAAAGAGTATCTTGTAAGCCTCATCAATGCCCACTCACTGGACCCAGCCACCCTGTATGAGGTGGAAGAGCTGGAGACGGCTGCTGAGCGCTACCTGCATGTGCGTCCCCAGCCACTGGCTGGGGAGGATGCCCCTACCTACCACATCCGCTTGTTACAGGTGAAGCCTACCCCCAGCCTCTCCTCTGACTCTATGCTCTAGAAGTCTGTCCAGCGTGTGTCTGAGCTCCAAGCTTCCAGGATCATCATCTTCTCTCTCCTTCTGCAGAAACTGATGGAAGAGGTGCCCTTGGGACAGAGTATCCCCCGCAGGAGGAAGTAACAGAGTGAAGGTCCCAATGAGGTTCCCATGGCCTAACTCCCTCAAGAACAGCTCCAGCACCAATAAAGAGGCATCTCCTTGCC